CCATCCTCCCTGTCCTCCCTCAGGGCCCTCTTCCTAGGCCTTCTCCACACACAGAGAGTGCTATCTCTGGGCTCCTACTTGCACTTTCCACCACAACAGAAGCATTTGCAAGAGGCAGGGAGGACAGGTGGGCTCTGTGCTGGAAGGAGGGAGCATCATTCCTTGTGTTTGTGAGGTTGGGGAGGGCCATGTGGACGACAGGAGGAAAGAGTCATGGTTTCCAATTGGCAGAGTCCAAATGTGGCATCGGGGGAGGGGGGTGGGACAGGGCAACAGGAGTCCTGAAGTTAATGTTATGGTAATAACTCCATTTATTGATTATCTGGCAATGATTCTAGTGAGTTCTGGATTAAATCTCATTTAATCTTCACAATCCACCAAGTAAAAACTGGAGTGTTGCTTTATGAAGGAGGAAACTGAGTTCAGAGAGGCTAAGAAATGTGCCCGTGTTGCTAAGTCAGAATTTGAACCCAGGATTCCTAACTTATTCAGTCACTCAGCAGTCTGTGCTCCCTGTGGGAGACAGGCACGTCCTCTGCACTAGAGACAGCAGTGAGCAAGGCTGGCAAAGTTCCTGCCCTCAAGGAGCTTGCATTCCACTGGAAGAGGCAGGTCATACACAAGAGAACAAGTGATCATGGGCATTTCAAGTCATGACAAGGTATGAAGATGATACAAGTAGGTAATATATTAACACATAAATACATAAATAGGTAATTTCACGCCTTAACAATATGATGGACTGAGCACCCTGCAGAAAGCCTTCAATACCAAACACCTAGAAATGCGGGGTACAATAAAAAGACTTCCCATTATGGGTACATCAGAGATGGCAAAAAGGTGAAGGAAATCTGCTGGGATCAAAACTGAGGAAGAGGAGCTAGGGATATAGTTCAGTGGTAGACTATGTGTCTGGTATGCATGAAGCCCTGGGTTCAATGAAGCCCTAGCACCAAATAAATAAATAGAGAGAGAAGATGAAAAACAAAACATACAATAACAACATAAAAACGAAAGAGTCTAAAAAGCAGAATGGTGAAATGAGGCAGAAGTTCTGAGCCAGCCAGTTTCAGCAACACCCAACTGTGAGTAGTAAAGGCCTTAAGGGGGCGGAAGGCAAGGTAGGGAGATGAGATCCACCCCCACATACATGAAGTCAAGATCCTTGGGAAAACAGTAAAGAGAGGGCTCCACCCACACAAAGGAAACCAGCAGAGAAACTTGCCTCACGAAAAGGTCTCTCATGACAATTCTAGAACCACCGGCCTCCTTCACGTGCAGTCACCACTATCCACCAGCCATAGGAGCCGGAAGATCCAAGGCAACCAATGAAAGGACAGAGGTCTGCACTGGTATCAGCCTGAGGGCCGAGGCAGACCCAGGTCCTGTCTGGAGGGGCGGTCTTCCAACCCAGCCCTCTCAGTTCTAAGGCTGAAGCTCTTCAGGCACAAGCCCCCCCTTTCAGAACCACACAGCACGCAAGGAAATAAGCAATCATGCAGGATCGCTGGACAAACCCATAAGCTCCAGAGTTAGAATCCTGTGGATTTTGTATGGTGGGGTTACCAGAGAACATAACGTGTCTATATAACACATAAATATGTCTACTGAACGTGATTAAAGAAGGAATGAAGTATGACTGGGGAAAGCGACATTAGCTTGCTGATTAGGAAAGCTTTTGTGAAAGTTTTTTTTTGCAGTACTGAGGATTGAATGCAGGGACGCTCTACAGTGCACTGAGCCGTATCTCCAGCCCTTTTTAATTGTTTGAGACAAGGTCTTGCCAAGTTCCTCAGACTGGCCTTGAACTTCCAATCTTTGGGACTCAGTCTCCCGAGTAGAAAGGGTCACAAGCATGCAGCACCTTATCTGGCTGAAGAAAAGACAGTTGCGGTGAGGCTTGAATGAAGAGAAGTAGGCTTTGTGGAAAACTGCATGGCAAGCAGAGAATTTAGGATATGCAAAGGCCCCAAGGCAGTGAAGTTGGTCCAGAGGAACAGAAGAGTCATTGTTCCAGCAAGACTGGCCTTCAGGGAGTACAAAACAGGAGAAGAGGAGATAGATCAGGAAAGAGGTCCGTAGGCCCTAGTGAGAGGGCTGGCTGGCTTTTATTGTAAGTGCCATAGGAAGCCTTCTGGGCTTTAAGCAGGAGGGTCTGGTTTGTTTGGCTGCTTGTTAGTTTGGTAGCCCTGTGAGGAAAGTTGCATGGTGCCAGGTCCATGCTATGACCTGGGAGTTCAACTCTTCCAGGCTTCAGCAGAAGATCACCTCATCCAGAGAGGGTCCCTGGGAAAGTGTGAGACAGAGAAAAGGTAGACGGGAGAAGGCTGTCAATCAGCATGAATCCAGCCACAGAGGCAGAAATAGGAGCAGAGCCCGTGCAGCTCCCCGCACCCAGCCATTGCCCAGGGTATCTGCAGCACCCCCACCAACTATTCAGGAGGACGCTCAGTAGCATCCTGTGTGCCAGGCGCTGGGTCAGCAGTGAGGCCGGATGCCTGAGAGGGGGGCCCTGCCTCAGAGGCTGCAGTAATAGAAGGTGACGGCCCATGGGGAAGGCTCTGGGCCGGAGCACAGAGGATGGTTAGCGGCTGTGCTTAGGGAGGGAGCAGTGTCAAGGACAGTTTCCCAGGAGGTGGCTTGAGCTGCTCCTCCCCTCCATCTCTAGGTCTCACCATACCCAGCGGAACCTCCTCATGCCTCACCCTGTAGAAAGGCCTGTGTCAGGGGCTCTACCTCACTGAGAGCCCCCAGCTGCAAAGACCACATCGACATCCCTGTGGTCCCCTGAGGAAGGAAGAGGAGATGGCGGCTTGAGAAAACCACCACAAGCCTTCGGCCTGGGCCACCGATTTCCACCATGTGGTTTGCTCATCACTGCCATCTGATGATGTCAGCAGGGCAGAGGCTTCACAGATGAAGAAACTGAGGCGCAGTGAAGCTCACTGCCTCGCCCAAGGCCTCACGGGTAAGCGTGAGTCTACAGTGCAGTCTCCCGTCCAGATGCTCCTGAGAGGGACGTCGGGTGTGACCGTCTCACAAGTCCACTTCCTCCCAACCCAGCTCTTCCAGCCCTCCTCAGGGCACTGGCAGCAGAAGCACTGGGGGCGAGGAGCGTCCAGGAGCAGGGACATCTGGGGCAGCCAACTTCCCAGGCTGGGATCCCAACTTCTTTGCAAGTTCCCAGGGAAGAGTTTCCCTAGAATGGGGCGCCCAGAACGAACTTTATAAAATTCTCCACAACCAGCCAAGCGGAACCTATTTTCCCTCACAATGCAATTAACGGCACCAACATTTACAAAATATGATTACAAGCGCTTTGGTTAAGTAGAGGAAAGTATATTAGATAGCAGCGAGGGGTTGATCTTAATGTGCATTTTTTCGAGAGACTTGCATTTTCTTTGTGCAAATAAAGAGGCCCTAAATTCTCCATAGGCACTAAAATCAATGCAGTGGAACCATGATAACAAACACGGGGCTCCACTTTTTGCTACATCCCCCAATTAATTAAGCCTTTCACGGGCATGTAATTAGGAACATTAGCAAGTCATAAAATTGCCGTGAGTCTTTAAATTATGTGCTGGCCCTCAGCAATTTGTTTTTAATTCCTTCTGAAGACAATGGCACTGCGGGGCCCAATAGATCTTTGCAGCGGCCCACTGTGCTCTGGGTTAAGGCGGATGCCGCCTGCCAGGGCTCCCCGCAGCCCGGTGCCCGTTTCCACCCTTTTGGGCTCCCAGGACCCAGGAAGTGCCCAGGGCTCCGGCTCCTCCCTTCTCTCTTTTCTCTCCACCACTTCCTCCTACTCCTACTTCCTTGCACTTTCTCTCTCCTCCCATCTTTTTCTTCTCCTATTCCTCAGCCTCGTTCGTCTCCTTTAATTCCTCTTCCCTTCCTCCTTCATCTTCTTCCAATGTGGCTTCCTCCTCTTTCTTCTCCTCCTTTCTTCCTTTTTCACCGTTGACTTTCTCTTCTACTTGCTTTTCTTTCCCTTTCTTTTATTATTTCTCTCTGTCCTCCACCCCCTTTTCTTTCTTTTCTCTTTCCTCCTTTCTCCACTTCTCCCTGTCATATCTTCCTCCTCCTCTTTTGATTTCTCTATCGCCTCTGCTGTTTTCTCCTCTCTTTGTCCTCCCTGTCCTCTCTTCCCTTGCTTTACCCTGTCTTTCCCCAGCCCCAGCCCCTCCCTGCCTTCCCAATGACCTCTCAGGACCCCTGCTCCTGGCCCCTTGATTCCCATCCACCCACACTGTAAAGGACCTCAGAGGCCATCCAGCATGGTCTGCCATCCTTTGATTTGTGGCATCGCATTGGCTACACTCATTGGGACTCAAACCCTGAAGCAACCCAGAGGTGCCTGAATGAACTCCAGGCAGGAGTTTATTACCCCACTCCCACCTCCTTCCTCCCTCTGGGTAGGGGACGGGGCAAAACAAATAGCTATAGTGTTTGCCTGCATAGTTAAACACCACAGAAAGGATCGGTGTTGGCCTTGTACTCATCTAGTGGGACTCCTTGGGCCTCAAGGTAGAGAATCCTACCCCTTATCCTCTCACCACTCAACACCCTCTTCCCCACCCCTGGTTGTTGCCCTTCTAAACCTGTGACCACCAGCTCGAGGACTTGGGGAATCGGGTCGAGTTCAAGCCTTCTAAACCCAGCCCGACCCCTCCATCTCCCACCCACACCTTCTCCTGTCAATCAAATGTTTCTAACTTATGAATCAAGATGAACTTGAAGATCTGGATGTGGAGTTTGGAGTAGCTGCCTCCCAGTCTCACTGGCACAATCAACTCCTTCTCCAACCCCATCTCCAAGGTTTGCGGAAGTTCTGGGCAGGGAAGTTCTAGAAGTTCTAGGGTCTCTGTCCCCTTTCCAATCCCACTCCTGGAGGTCCCCACTCCCGGAGGTCACAGACTCCTGTGACAGAATTCCTAAACTCTAGAACTGGGAGGAACAATACAAAAGAGTCACCAAGGCCCATCCCAGGCCAGAGCCTTTCTGTCAGGAGCAAAAAGGCTTGCTTACTCTCTTGATGACTGCGGCTCCTCTCCTTCTCCGGCTCCTCTCAGCTTCTCTGCATTTCACAAAACTGTGAAGACAGTACTCGTGTCGAAGGGTGTCTGGGGTTCTGCTTGCCTGCTGAGGTTAGGCATGGGATGTGTGACTTGTTCGAGCCAATGAAATGTGGTTGGGGGTCATATGTGTCACTTGAAAGCTCCCCAGACTTTGAGCAGAGTTTGCCTGAGCCTCTAAGATGTTGGTGCTCTTTATTACCACAGGGTAGCCTGGCTCTTCCTAATGAATCCACTAAGAAGAAGAGGAAGAAGCCTCTATTGGTTCAACTCATCCATTGGCCCAGGTCTGGCCATTAATTGAGCTTCGGTAGGGATTATTGCCTTTTGGTCAAATGCCTATCCTGTCCCAATCAAGGAATTCTTCAGCTGTGCTCGGTCCTCTCTAGACAGTAACATTCTCAGGAGACGACCAGCATTGCAGTTGTCATTTGGTCTCTCTCCTTACTTGAACACATTACCTAACGACAACTAATGAGGAGGAGGCCAGTCTTCACGATGAGGATTACCACTCACTGCTCAGCACCAGGCTGAGACAGCTGATGCCTTTGAACATTATTGGTATCATCCTTATGGACTATTCTCCTAGACCCCTGTATTCTACTGCTTTCCTTTATGGTCCTGCAGGGGCTCTTAGTAATACTGTGTTGAATGAATGATGCTGACATGCAGTTAATACAGGAATAATGAATTCTGACTTACACACAAAGAGGAGGCCTAGAATTCACGCCACACACTTATGAAAGAGCTGCTGTTCACCTCCCTGGCCCCCAGGCATACCACCGCCTTACAAAGTGCACGGGCAGCTGTAAGCCTGTCTGCCGGGAGTGCGGACAGTGAGGGAGGACAACACCTTTCCACTCAACTGGAACATGCGGGTGTTCCTTGACCCAGCAGCCACAGAGTCTTCTGACCACAGCCAGGACTGTCTTCCTGTCTCATCTCCAGGGCAGGGAGGGGAGCCTAGAAGCCCAGCCTGGGGCTCTACTGGAGCCCATTTTGAGGTAGCCACATTCCCTGAGGACAGAGAGCTGTGATTAGGAGCCTGGTGAGCACAGTCTAACCTTGAGTAAGTGTTTTCTTGTTGTCATCTACAGATCTAACGCAAAGCCTGCAGAGAATACGCAGCAGAGACATATATTACACCCAGAGCTTTTTATCTCGCTCATGTGACCCTGCCCATCATGAGCTGTGCATTTTATTCTCACTGGTGGGACAAAAAACCACCTCCCGCTACAGCATATATCAAGGGGAAGAATGTTGAACTTTCTTTGCATTAATATAAATAGCTGTTTAGGCCTCATTCCCCAGCCTGGGACCCTTCATGCACCTGTCCTTCATCTACTCTCTTTGGCATCTGGTTCAAGTTTGGTTTATTTAGAGCCCAGGTCTGCGGGCTTTTACATATTAAAGGTGCATTTTAAAAGAGCATTTTCTATTCTAATTTGGGGGAGCCAAGCTCTTTAGGGCTTTCGGAGTGGTGTCCACCTGATTTACATTTCCCCCTTTGGAGCAGAGCCACAGACACACATTAGAATGTAAATAATAGTGATGGATACTGTGTCTTTAAAGATCTATTTTCTCTCCATTTTTTTTCTCTTTGAGGGGAGGGGAAAGGCCAGGGAGGAACTGGAGTATCCGGGCTGTGAGGCAGAGTTAAGAAAGGGGGAAAGGAAACGTGCTGGGTTTCTTGGGAAGCCTGGCTCTGAGAGATGGGGGTGGCAGCTCACAGAGCTGGGGTGATGGGGTTCAAATACTGGCTCCCATGTGGCTCCCATGTGGCTTGGGAACTTCTCTTGGCTCTGAGCCTTAGCCATAGGGGAACATCACCATCATCCTATGAAGGGCTGCCATGCAAATAAATGAAGTGGCCCCTGTAAATTTCATGGCACAGTGCTAGGCACACAGCAGGTGAGCTACTTAGTACATGTCAGCTGTTGTTTTTTATTACTGCCCCTGTAAATCTTGTCTTCTGTCCCAAATACCAATTCCCTGAAAACGGTAGCCTCTTTAGCAGTGTGAATTAGCTGGGCTCCGTTCATTCGGTGTCAGGAAACGGATCTGGGTCCTACTGTGAGCTGGAGAAAGACTATAATTGAGGAGGGATGGTCCCTCATTCTCTGCCTGCCCGCAGCCCCTATCAGGCTCCTGTCTTAGCTCCCCATCATGGCCACCTCCTGGACCTCTTCTTCCCTCCCCCTTACCTGGAGAGATCCTATTTATCCCCTCCCAGGAAGCCTTCTCTCCCCAGCCTTGGTGCTCTCCTCGAGGCTCCCGACTGTACTTTACTTCCTTCCACCCACCACCCTGGTTACCGTTCCCTATGTGGACTTGTGTCTGTATTTCCTACTGGAGCACAAGCCCCAGGAAGAGAAGGACTGTTTGGTCACCATCCTAATCCCCAGCTTGATCCATAGTGGGCGCTCAATAAATATTCACCAAAGGAATGAATCTCCACGTAACTGACCCCAGACACGACGAAGTACTGAGCTACTCACCAAATAAACGTCTGTGAGACGAAATGACGAAGCTCTTGCTTCCAAGGGGTTCACGGCCTCATCAGGGGCGGAATGGTGCTGACCGATGCTGTACCCCAAAGGAGTTCAGAAGGGGGCAGCTGAGGTGGGGTCGGGAGGGCTTCCCAGAGAAGGTAGCAGTTTAGTAGGGCCTTGAAGAATAAATAGGGATCGTTTCAGAGGAAGAGGGAGAGATGTTCAAGGCAACAGAGGTTTTGATAGGGGAAAGACCCTAAATAGGGACAAAAAGAGATGGTGCTTTCTGGATCTTGGCCCAACATGCTCTTAGATTGCAAGGTGGGATGGGACCCATTTGGGATGTGTTTTCTAAATGTGAGCACTAGGCAGATCCAATTGCAGAGAGCAGGGTTGGGTAGGGAAGCGAGGAGAACGTTTTCGGTCCTAGATTCTCGGAGCCAGGCAGAGACCAGGCCTCATTGCTGGACTTTCTGAGAGGCCAGGAGAGCAAGTATGGAGGAGGGAGAGATGGAAAGGGGTCCTCCTGGCCTCTGTTTCCCTAGCCAAGAGGCTTTGGCAGACAGAATTGCCTGAGAAATCCAGGGGGAAGCCAGGTATGAAGGCTCACACCTGTAATTCCAGCCCTCTGGGAGGCTGAGGCAAGAGAGTCAAAAGTTTGAGCCCATCTGGGTAGCTTAGAGACTTAGAAAAACCTTGTCTCGAAATAAAAATTTTAAAAATGGACTAGGGGTATAACTCAGGGCAAAGGCCCTAGGTTCAATCCCCAGTACTAAAAAAATAAATACAGGAGGAAAGTCCGGAGCTCTCCCACTGGAGCCACGGTGGGGGCAGGGGCAGTGTCAGAGGTGTGACAGCAGAGAGGAGGAAGCAGGAGGAAAGGAGGAGAGAGAAGCAGGGGCCAGAGGTCGTGACAGGAAGGGAGAAGGTTAGCAGGAGGGAGGGACGAAGGGAGGCTGGGGGGAAGGGAAGGGGTTGCAGGATAGGGTTTGGGAGACCATAGTGGGAGTTTAGGGGTTCCATGGCAACCCCAGGAGAGGTGAAAGAGCAGGGAGTGGGCCAGGCCACGTGTATAGAGAGGGCGGGCAAGGACAGGAGGTGGAAGGAGATGAAGTTGTTCTTTCGTCTTCCTCCTGGAGACAAGGGGCCAGGCTGTGATAGGGAGAATGACGGAAAGTCTCATTGGAGCTGTTGGTTTGAAAGAATTTGTCTTTGGAACAAGCTTTTTATCAGTTGGCTTTAAAGATCAGGATTCCTTAGAGGCTGCTCCATCTTCCTCTGTCTCGTTTCTCTCTCCCGTCCCCTCCTCCCCTGTTCTGTCTCTCTCCCATCCCAGGTCCCTTTCTTGGCTCTTCGTCTCCTCTTCCTGTTCCTGGGCATCCCTGGCAATCTGCCTCTGTCTAGCTTCACTGCTGGCAGACAGTGGGCCCAGCCTCCCTGGCATCCTGAGCCACGGGCAAGGCCTGGACTGGCAGAGCCACTGTGGGCTCTGTGTTGGCTGCAAGGCCCTGTGCCAGGAGGGAAATTGGTGAGAAGAACTTCAGGCCATGGGGGCCTTGCCCAGGCTGCAGCCACTGCCCCAGGCCATAGTTCCCTTTCCCACCCTGACCAGCTGTCCCGGTGTGACTGTCACCTGCTTTGTGCCACAGGAGAGGCAGATTTGAGGTGCAAAAGCAGGAGGAGGTTGATAGTCCTCTATGCCCCAGCACTGCAGCTGGATGGCGGGAGCAGGCCAAGAAGAGAGAGGAGGAATAGGAAACTGAAGGCAAACTAGAGTGTTAGTGACTATCGTTCCAATGTGTCAGGTGCTTCTCCCCGGGGAAACTGAGGCATTCCATGGAATCCACTGGAACCCATGGCAGGCAGCAAAGGTGGAGTGGCTGAGCCATCTGCTCTTTTCCAGTTGCCTCTCCTTGGATGCAGCATTTCGTGTTCCCTACCACCATCCTCAAGACAGTGTGGACCTCATGCTGTGCCCTGGGTGGACTGGAGGACTCTCACTTCCACCCAAGTTGGAGCTGAAATGTTTACGGATTTGCTTTTCTTGGAGAGGATAAGGTGGGGATGGGGAGGATTCAGAAGTTTCTTGGAGCCTCCAGGGTCTTTCTTTTACCTCCTAGTTCTGTCCTTACTCCTGGTTGAGGGCACCAGCCCATGAGGGGAGGAAGGAGAGAGGAGGTGATCGAACGGCCCTCCTTCTGGGACGGGAACTCTAAGGCCTTTCTGAGGCACTTCATCTGTACCCCACCCTCCAGAGTTTGGGGGTGACCCTCTGAGGCCCCCAGGTTCCTTCCATATTCCCAGCCTAGCTTTTCTCAGGCATCTGGGCTGGGAGGGGCTGTGCTTGGGCAGGAGCAGGGAGAGGGCCAGGCCATGTGTATAGAGAGGCCTCAATTTCACAGGGCTTGCTCCTGAGTGAGTTTCGCATAAAAGGATTAAGGCGAGAGGAAGTGCAGAGGAAATGGGATGTTGGACACCTTGTTAAACGGGCTGTCAGGGCTCCCCGAGCGTGGGTGCTAACTCTATTCCCTGCCTCCAGGGAGAGTGGGCCAGGTCATTACCTGAGTGATCAAAGATAGGGCCTCGGGAGTCAGAAGAGTCCGAGACAGTCAGTGCTTGGAACACCAGGAGGCTGGACCAGGAAGTGGAACAGCCCGGACTACTGGCCATAACCCACCCCTCCCCTCTCAGGCCTCACTCCGGAGGGAACTCCTGAGGGGTCAGGGAGATGGGGGAAACGCGGCCTTCCTGGAGAGTTCTTGGCCCTGGGGATCACATCACAGCATGAGAGGGGCATTTGACCTAACGATGTGTCGATTATCATTTCCTTCCTTATCTGAACACCAGGGACATTCTTTTTCCTGAGCTCAGGAATTGGCTTAGTTTGTGAATGAGTCTGATCGGATCAGCACTTTTCCTGAGGAGATAAGAGGGTTATCAGAAAGGGGAGTGGGCTCCCTCTGGGAAGAGCAGCAGGGAGAGGAGCTGCCTGAGGACCTGTGTGGGGACATGCAGGGTGGGGGGAGTCGAGCGGCCTGTCAGGGAGGCTCATGTCCACACAGGGAACCCTGGCCTTTTCCTGTCTATGTCCCACTCCGCCTGGACCATCACCAGCCCCTTCTCTAGGCCACTCCCTGTGCATTCTTTAGAGAGGACACAGCCTGGCTTGAATGCTCGTATCACCCCAGGAACTAAAACTTACCCACACCCAGGCCAATAGAACCAGACTCTCTAGGACCTCAGGTGAGATGGGCAGGGTTTTAGAAGCCCTAGGTGGTGGTGGTGGTGGGGTCTCTCCACAAGCCACACCTATCAGCAGGCAGGGCAGTTTCTGTTTGCTTTTCTGTCTAGATCTCCCATCCCAGCCTGAGAACACCGAGTGGAGGGGCCCAGGGGGCGCTCGTCATTGTCCCCTGAGCTTAACCCTGCACCTAGTGGGCTGCCCAGCCTCCGAGTTAAGGAAGGGTATGAACGGGAGCTGGGCTTAGTCACCTCCCATCTCTGCTGCCTGTATCCAGGGCTGATGAGAGCTGGTGCTTCACACAGGTGCCAAATGTGTGTGGGGTGTAGGCTTCTCATGGCCTCTCTGAGATGCGGGGAGTCAGGGAAGAGTTAACAAGGAGCCCCTCATCTTGTCTAGCGCTGGGGGCCTTCCCAAAGTCTCCTCCCTGCCCCCAGCCCTTCCTAGTGATTTTTTAACGCTTCCAACGGAGGAAAGCAAGAGGGTTCAGGTCAGGGGTCAGCAAACTTTCCATAAGGATCAGCAGGTGAATATTTCAGGCTTGGTGGCTTTGTCTCAATTGCTCAGCCCT